AACGGACTGTTCCGGAAAGCCGAGGCCGACATCCTGTAAGCTCGAGAATCTTCTGCTCTTTCCAGACCTCCACATTCTCCAGTCTCAGAAACACCCTGCCTCAGGCTAACAACCCTGCGCTAGCACAGTTAGTGTTCATCATGCTAGCACTGCAAACAGAGCTAATATTCTTACTAGTACAAATGACATGTTGACTTAGTAAATGTGCACTAAGAGGCGGCGCAGTGTTACCTTTTAGTTTTTCACCATTTGTCACCTAATCACAAGAGACTTAAGTATCTGAGTCTCGCCATATTTTCAATTATGTATGAATCAATTCTGCTTATGACTAACATTAGCAACTTACTTTGCTAGCAGGCTAGTTAACAGCTAGTAAACTAGCTCTCATCTGTCCTATATAAACTCAAGTGAGACTTCAGTACATTTCAGAGTCTTGTCAGATTTTCAAAGATTTATTTAACAGACAGCAAAACCCTAAAAATGCTAATTAAACTATTCTCTCCATCACTAACTTTAGCTAAGTTAGTAGCTAATCTAGCTTGCTTAGCACACTGATTTGTGGCTAAATATGTCCCACTCTCTAAAATTATAATTTTTAATTTAGCGCTGTGTGCACAAAATCGACCCAAATGTTAATCTTACATTAATTACATTCATTAAAAAGATTTAAACATTTTTGAGTTCAGCAGAAATAAAAAAAAAAACACAAAAAGCAGAATAAACCAACAGCAGACTCAACAATGTCTGTCACCTTGAATTGATGATAAAAGTTGCATAATAGCGATTCGGATCTGATGATGGACACGTCAGACATTGGATCATCCGAACTGTGAAGGTCAGCGCTGATGGTCGTTCATTCTGAAGCTCATAGGACCTAAAAACATTAACAGCAGCCACAAGTCTATCAGTATCATGTTTGGACACAGGTCAGTAATATACTGTACGCCTTTGAAGTGCCATATCCGTTTTGAAGCGTGTGTGTGTGTGTATGTGTGTGTGTGTGTGATATATTGAATGCTACTCTGTTTCCGCTGATAGTGGTTTGTGTAGGAGTTCAAACGCACTGAGATATTACAGCCGCTGTTTGTTATTAGAGAACTGCCATCGCTTCCTCTTTCTCTCAGCGCTCAGGCTGTAATTTTCATTTACTGATCTTCATTTGTGATGGTTTTCTTTCTACTCGACACTGATTTGTGATAGTTTTCATTCCTCTCGACACTGATTTCAGTATGAATAAATGAGGGATGCCATGATTGGAGTGACATTTGTGCCCCATTGATATTACATTTACAGTTATGTACACAAAATAAAAGTAAAAGACAGCTTTTAAACACAGCTGAAGTCCTTATTTAACATGATATAATATTATCAATACCTCTACATCTCACTATAACTACACTTTACCTTGAAATATAATCATTACTTCAAATCCGATTTGTTTTACATGAATCATCATCATCATATGACATCTCTTGCTTGAAACACCCTTTTCTTATTATATGTCTATTATATGTTATGAAACAAAATCCATTTCACTCAACCCTGTTACCTGAGCACATTCACCCCTATGAAATATCTAGAATATTCCCCAAGTTATTCTACACATACAGGAAGTTACATCATCCAAATTTCCCAAAGATCCCAGGAAGAAGAACAGAAAGTTTTCTAAATATTTTTGTTGTTGTTGTTGTTGTTGTTGTTTCTTTTTTGATATTGTGAAAAGTAGAATCTGTGAAATATTTATATGAATTTCAGAGTTTCTCAGTATTTGGTACGTCCCTTTTTTGCTTTAATGACAGTGTGCACTCGAGCTGGCATGGACTCCACAAGTTTGTTCAAAACCTTATGATCCATTTTAGATCAAATCCATCAGAGTGTCGTCTGATCACATGCTTCAGTACAAGAGATTATACATGAGGACAATCTGATCTTTTGTACGAAGCAGTTAATATGCTCAATATCACACATTCGCTTACATTTAAATAGGAACCTAGAAATAGTGCAGAATATTAAATATTCAACATATTGAACATTTGCTTTCTTTGTTTTAAATATTTCAAAATTCTAAAACCTTCTGTTTATTTCCAATTTTAAATGAAAAAAACAATCCTAGATTTTTATTGTGGTCTCAGACTTTTGGACCACACTGTATATATGTGTGTTTATACACAAGGCTGAATGTATAATAGGGTGCTTGACCCCAACTCCCCATCCTAATATCCCACAATCCCCTGCTTCCTGTCCCTCACCTCCCTCCTGCTGTCCGGTCTAGCAGACCCTGCAACTGGGAATCTCAGGGGTGAGCTGGGGGGCAAAGCAAGCCACACACACACACACACACAAACACACACAGACACTAAAAGTAAAGGACATTATATTAAAATCACCAATTTCTGATCAAAACACAGAATTTTCAATAAAATGTCTTAGGAAGTGGTTGTATTAAAGTTGTTGTTAAGTTACAATTAAAATTAATAATTTAAAATTACATTTTTCTTTACAGAATTAAGCTTTTAGGTTTCATTTTTGACTTCCTACCCTTTGTGAGGACCTTCCATCGACAATTATTTATTAATGTAGCTAATTATTGCTACGCAAGACCTAAATCCAACTTTAACCTTAAGTAGCCAAAAGAAAATTTTCTGGCTCTTTACTTTTTTGTTTGTTTGTTTTTAATTAAAGCTGCAGTTTTTTTTATAGAAAAGCAATTTTCCTCGTGGAGACCAGAGAAATGTCCCCACACTGGTCAAACCTTTCAGATATTTCTATGTTTGTGGTGACATTTGCCCACACACACACTCACACACATACAGTCAGGTCCATAAATATTGGGACAGTGACACAGTTTTGGTAATTTTGCCTCTGTACACCACCACAGTGGATTTGAAATGAAGCAGTCAAGATGTGACTGAAGCGTAGACTTTCAGCTTTAATTCAAGGGGTTTAACAAAAATATTGCATTAACCGTTTAGGAATTACAGCCATTTTTTACAGAGTTC